TGCATAACGATTGGATCTTTCCTCGTGTTAGGGATGAGATATTTATAGAGGCTCTTGGGCCTAGAATCTAGGTTTTTTTAGAAACTATAACCTCCCACTCAATCATAATAGTGTGTCGTTGAATCCCTGTTTCCTAGGAGGACGTAATAAAGTCTGTTAACTCTGAATTCTCTCTACTCGAGACACATCTTTTCCCATGTTTCCCATGACAAAGCGATTAGGGAAAGACAAAGGTGAGGTTACCATAAATTATAGGTGGAAAAGAGCATTGCCCCTAGAAAGGTGCCACCAACTGACGATCATGATTCCTTTGCCCTTGGCGGGTATTTTACAAATATATCACTACAAATTCCAAGGCTCGAGAGATTAATTGCTAATGTAAATGACACAAATAATATTTGATGGCATGCAAATGAAAGAAATTATGATTGAAATATTCACCATGTAGATGATTATTTGCAATGGAAGAAAATTGATCAAAGTCACACACATGAGAATGAATAATCCAATTAGGAAAAACACAAGCAGCATATATAAAAATATAACACAAATATCGTAATTAAAATTTTGGCAATTACAAATCAAAGGAACTCCGACAATGGTGGTAAGATTACCCAATCAAGTTCAAATAAATATAAAAATAATAAAATAATATCCTAGTTGGGGAGAACATCTTTGTGCGAGTTCTCTATCAAGACTAGGAGTGGCAAAATGGGTCTGGTCATCAGTCAAACGTGTTTTGTCCGCACTTTTTATGGAGCGGACTAAGGTTTTAGGTCTTCAGTCTCTAATATGCCCTCTTCGCCTCCCTTTTTTATGGGCACGGTGTGATATGGTGGGATAACTGACTATGATTTTGCGTTTGTTTTCGCAAATGTTTCGGTTGAGCAAGAGTCGCCACCGACTTTTTATTTTATCCTAAGGAAAGGTTTAAAAAGCACAGCAAAAACCTTTGAGATGTTTTCTTGGGTTCGGGGAGTAGATTATAGAAAGGGAAGGTATTAGCACTCTTTCTATCCATGGTTATCCATGGGCTCTTAGTTACTTGCTTAGATCAACTTGCCTTAATTTTCAATTGTTTGAAATGGTGCTTTGTGTGTGTGGGTTTGAAAATGTTTTGAAAAGAAGCCAATGTGGTGGCAACCTTTGTAATGATCCATGTTGGGATGTATACAAAGGTGTATGTCTTTTGAAAAGGTTTTCATTTGTTTTTGAAAGTTTGTTTTTGAAAGTGTTGTGAGGTGTGGTTTTAGAAAATAGGCAAGTGTTTTGTTTTGCAAGTTTGATTCAAGTAACTAAGAGGTTATCTACTCCTAAATTTCTCAAAGATTATTGCTATGTTTTAACCCTTTTAACAATTTTGTTCCACCATTGCATTTGGTGGACAATCTTGTGTTAGGATGTGAAAGGGACTGGCGCGGGTCATCGTTTAGACCATAATTGCAATGGTGCCAAGTATCTTTGGGCAATTTTTCCTTTAAGGGACTTGATCATTTTTTAGGCAACTTTCGAAAGCGTCATCGAGGGACTATGATCATTTGATTGTTTGTTTTGTTTTTGCCCAAAGAGACCTAACATGCAATATGGCCCATTTATTGAAGGCAACAAGTGGAATACCCTAGGGGTGCAAGTGTGATAAGTGTTGTCCATTTTCATGCTTGTTTATCTTGAAATTAGGTCAAACTATTTTTGTTGTTTTTGATTCGCATACAAACCCTAATTCTAACACGGTATATTTAGAAAGCATTAAAGTGCGAAAAATAAAATTACTAAGCTATTACAACACAATATATGGGAAGGGGGGTACAAATGTTCAAATGGGGGTATTTTGACAAGGAATTTAAACCTAGACTATTACATCAATATTGAATTATTTACAAGATAATTGATTGCACAAATTAAATGGAAATAAAATAAATATGCAAGATGCAAAAAGGTTTTTTATATGTATGAAAAAAAAGTATTTTTATATGTCAAATAAACAAAATAAAAAGGATTATTTTTGGATTTTTTATGTTTAGGGCAAAACCCTAATTTTATTAAGTAAATGCATTAATTATTTAATATGTACAATATTTATTTATTATTTACAAAAATAAAATAAAAATGAAGTATATTTGTGAAAGGGTATTTTTAATATTTAAATATTAATAAAAAATAAAATATGTATATATTTTGCATTTTTAACCTAAATATACTAATATATATATATAAACATTTGTATTATTTACTAAATATGTATTATATATACAAAATAATAATATTTAATATTTATAAAAAAAATATATATATTTTATATGAAATATTTTCAAGAGAGAAATAAAATGAAAATCAGAAATAAAATAAGTTTGCATTATTTTTGGTATTTTTTAAATAAAAGTGTTTATTTATTTATTTATATATAAAAAAAAACTATTCTAAACAAATAAATGCCTATAAATTCAAAAATGGTGTGAAAAATATTTTTTATATTTTTAATATTATTAGCAAAAATAAATAAGTCAGAATAAAAAAAGAAAAGTCAAAAAAATCATTAAAATAAGCAAAATGGGCTCAGGGGTGTAAAAGTAACAAAAGGGTGCAAAAAGAAAGTCAACTCAGGCCCAGCCCAAGAAGACTTCATCTTCAACCTCAGAACATGTTTGAACACAATCCACGCGCGTTTTTCATCTCTCAATTCCTGAACTTTCAAGCAAAACTCACAACATGAAAAATGTAGAGCATTAAGAGACGAATTCAGGGATATAAAGAACTTGACTTAACTCTCTAAGATGAGAGAGAATTTCTTCTCCCCCAATTCCTGACCTAGTTTTTGTTCCATGTTCAGACTTAAAATTCTCTAAGCACACGTAATATAAATGAAATCTAATTACATGGGCATGTTCAGGGCTATGAATGTGACATGTTTTCTTCACAAACCTAAAGCTAACAATGCCTGGATAGAGAGATACGAGTTCATGAACTTACCTGTTCAGTTGAAGTTGTATCTGGTGATTGAGGTACTTTCAGTGCAAGATGATGATTGGTACAGCTTCCTTGATGTCCAGGGATGCTATTCCAAGCTTTACTTTGTCTTGAAACCTTTTGAATCGTGCTATGGAACTTCAACTGCAAAACAAGAAAATGAAAATGGTGATGTTGCCTGGGAGTGTTACAGGTCGTGTTTGAGGTTTGGAATAGCTTCAAGGGATATTGTGGGATGTGTTTGAAGTGTTTTTAGCAAGAATGCATGGAAGGTTTGAGCTATGGAACTCAAACTGCAGGGATGCCCTGTTTTAGGCAGTTCAATGGTGATTCTGGGAATGGGGAGGTATTGGGGATGCTAGGCTCGTGTTTCAGCTTAGGATGGATGTTTAGAAAATGTTTGACAAGTTTTCTTAAGGCTTGGTTTACAGGAATGATAGTTGTTGGATGATATGCTATGTTTCTTACACTTTAAGCAACAAAAGGCAACTTGGTGTTTCTAGCCTGTACAGGCCCCCATTATATGCTGCACCACTTAGTCTTGATCAGTGTAATTAACTCATAAACTTGTGCCAAAGAGATCTTAACTGTACTTGCTTGGATTTGCTTTAGACATAAAGTGCAACTTTTCAAGAATGGCTAATTTGCTTTTTCTATAAATGGCTTAGTTCAACATGTAATGCTTAAACTCATAAAACAAGGCCTTGGCACAATGAGTTAGCATTAAATTATGGAGTGTAATTGAGATAAAAGACCTGTAATCAAGGAAAGCATGTTGAATTCAAAATGGCACAAATGTATGAACATGTAACTTGGCCAAATCAAAAGTGAGTTTTTCCCATATTGTCAAATTCGATTCTCCCTAACCATTAGGTTGTTTGATGAGTTCTTGGACATTTTGGAAAGCTTGGAATGTGTACTACAATTCATCTTTGAAATGCAAATTTAAATTCCAAGTGGAAGTATGTGAAAAATGGTCTTGAAGTTAGGTAAAAACCTTGCCTAAAATAGGTCAAATTTTCTCTAAGTTAAGAATGGTTTGGTACCCTTGTTCCAAAAATTGTAACTTGAGCTACAAGCTTCTTTTGGGAAAACTTTATGAATCAAAGTTGTAGATTTTGCAATAGGCTACAACTTTCATGTTTTGACTTTTGCTTGAATCCAAATGAATCTTGGTGAGAAAGTGGGGCAAAGTTAGGAAAAAATTAGGGTTTTTCATAACTTAGAAAAATTTTAAGTTATGAAAAATCTTCATTTCAAACCCTAATTTGCAATTCTTGATTTCTTGATGAACAAGTTTCATGATTTGGCATGTTTTGATGAAAAATGAATCTTGACACTTGATTTTGACCAAAAAGTCAAAGTTTGACTTTTCAGTATACAGTCAAAATTGATCAATTGACTGGGAAATTCAACTGTCAATTTTGAACTTGTTGAGCATGTCAAGACAATTCCATGGGGTCCTTGAGTCCATATGTGAGCTTGGTTTGCCATTGGCTAGGTCAAACAGTCAAAAATTGCCTTTGTGCAGTCAAAACCCTAAAAATGACCATTTTGCCCTTTTGGTGATCTGATCAAATTTCTTGTGGAATTGTGATCCAAACTTGATCAAATGGTCCATATGAGTTCATAATGTTGATGTGGGTCAATTTTCATGAGATTTGACTGTCAATTGGTCACAGTTGACTTTTTCCCAATACAGTTGATTTCTAGGTCAACTGTCCAATTGACTGGGCAAAATTTGGAATCAGGACTTGAAACTTGGTATGGATAAACTTGGGAGTCCAACATGAAGCACGAAAGTCATCTTAGGCATTTTAGGTCAAAATATCTTTGTTCAAACACAAACCCTAATTTGGGTCAACAGTGCAAGGAGAAGTCTTGAGCAGAGGAAACCCTAATTGGATCTTGAGCTCCAAGGGTTTTGTGATGAGAAAATGTTGAGGAAATGGGAGGGCAAATTTTGGGGTACAACACACGGGTTTTTGCAATTTTTATACAAAAAAGGTGTTGTACCTGCGATCCACCCCGCCCAATTAATATTTTAAGTCAGTTCCCTTCACAATGCCCACTACAAAAAAAAAATATTAGCTCGGTGAAAACCACTTCACAAATCAAAATATCACATCACAACATGCAGTTCAGTGACATGATGAAACACGTCGCAGGAACACATATCGTAACTTATTTGTGACGTGAAAAACATACATAATTTTGCCACATGAAATTCACATCGTAATTTATCAAAATTACCACTATCATTTGTCCCTATAGTTACGACACCACAAGATCCATTTTCATTTTTATCTTCACCACCGAGCGTTTTTCTTCCCCCTCCCATGGTTTTAGAACATCCACAATAGTCACCACCTTTCACAATGCCAAACCCAACAGTAAAGATTCCATAACAACCACTCGTTTTTGCTACTCCAACACCAGATGTTATTCTTCTTTCTCTAGAGATTCCACAAGAACCACCTATATTCACCATGCCAAATCCAACGCAAAAAATTTCGTAGGAACTACAGATTTTGCCATGCCAACACCAGACGTTGATGTGATTTTTATTTTGGAGATAAGGGAAGTAAAAAGAAGAAGTTAATGTTTTATGAAAATGAAGAGGAGAAGGGGGGAGCAAGAGAAAAGAAGGCATGCAAAATGAAGAAGACGAAGTTAATGTTCTATGAAAATGAAGAGGAGAAAAGGGGAGAAAAAGGAAAGAAGGGATGTAAAACAAAGAAGAAGAAGAAGATAATGTTTTATTAAGTGCTAAAAAACACTAATTAACCACGCGTTTTTCACATCACAAACAAATATTTAAAATTTTAAAAATTTTAAAATTCCCTCCAAATACAAAGACATTGTAACATGTGTAAACCTGATTAGGCCCAAAATTTTCACTTTGCAACGTTCTTTTTTTGCGACGTGATTTTCACGTGGCAAAATCACATCTTTGGAAATCATTTTTCTTGTAGTGATCGGTCCACGCACATCTCATTTTTTTTGCAAACTTTTGTGATGCAGATCTAAACAGAACGAGTTTTCCTAATTGCACCCTCAATTAAGACTTACCCATTTTCCACTTCAAATCAAGCCATTCTCATCCTCCCTAACAACCTGATAAGTAGGCATCACCTTCTTGGGAGGAAGAGATGCATCTGACTCTTCATATAGGGGGTCTCTGGCGCTAAATATTTTAAATTTAAAAATCGAAATAAAAACGCACTTTATATTATTACTCGATGAGTATATTTATAAAAAAAATATAGGAAATTGAGGACCTTTTATGTTTAAGTATCGGTACCAATTAAAATATAATTAATAAAACAAAAATAATGCTATTTAGTACAAAATAATTTGAGTAAAAAACACAAGAATGTACATATGTCATTAATTTAATAGATTATTTTTAGTTTATCATAAATTAAATTTCCTTTTTAATAAAGATCATGGACTGGTTATGATAAGAAATAATTGAGATTTATTCTTGTCTTTTTTTATTTTCACATTTTGTTACGAATAAGCATTTTTTATAGAACAATCATGTTACAATTCAAAGGACCCCTTAGTATCCAAATCCATAGAGCGTGATTAGATTGAATAAATCATTTCTATAACTTAAAAAATGCCTTTCCATTTTAAAGACTTTATTTTACCAAAAACATAATAATACATTAGGCTTTTGGAATTCCAACAAACTCCTCTATGAGATGCTCAACTATTTTTCTGGATGTAATCTTATCAATCTGGTATGCTTTCATCTCATTTTTCAGACCTGCAACAACACGAGTAAATTTTTAGTATAAGCATTGCACTTGAATGTGAGTGATGCACATAAATATTTTTATTTTGAAATTAAAAAATAGGGAAAGAATTTTTTTACAGCCATTCCAGAGGATATTTAAATTTAATATCATGATGTAACAAAATTAAACTCTTTACCATTAAGCCATTTCCTCAAATTCATGCACATAATGTTAATTTAAATGTGCAATTGAAATAAAATAATAATAATTGAATCCTAACCTGGGATTTGTAAAATTTTGAGTGGCAGTCGAGAGGCATTAAAATCGAAGAAGAAGAGCAAACTCTCCAATAGCTTTACGGAGTCAGTTGATACTAAAACTTCTCTCTAAATAAATGCATTTACAAAAAGTATTCACAATATTAAGCAAAACTCCAAAAGCAATATCATATGTGCTACAATTGTAGCAACTTTAAAATATTTTAAATAATAAAATTTAAAACCATAAATTGTGTTAAATAAGATGTTTTAAATAATATAATTAAAAAATTCTAATCATGTCCACAAACTAAAAACAATCTACTTCTTATTGGGTGTTGTATTGTCATTTGAATCTTATATAAGTTCCAAAAAAATAATCCACTTCTTATGTTCTTTAAGTACAAAACTCAAAATTAGATTGACACAAGAAGTGTAAAAAACACAACAAGCACAACATATGGAAAAAAAATCCATCATCTAGGAATTTCTTAAAAGGAGATCAAACTCTATAGAAAACACCAACTTTATGGTTTAGAACTCTTGATCCGTTAATGGTTTAGACTATGGGTAGAGTTTTGTAGTCGATCAACAAGAAGAAAGAGTTCAATGTTGACTGGCTAAGAGTTCCATGAAAAAAACTATAGTCCATCACTTCTTTCATAATTGTTCACACACCATAAAATAACTTATCATTACGCACTAACCAAATAGATAACACCACTGCATGTCAAATTATAGCGAAATCTCCCCTTAGCTTAATAATCACTTCTTAAGATAAGAAAAACTCAAAACAAACTAGATTTCTTAGGATGAGCCGACTACACCTCTAGCCACTTAAAGATATTATACTAAACATTATAGGCTAGATTGCAAGCAACAAACAGATGTGAGACATATTCTAGCGAATCCTCGTACCAAATACAAGAGAGAATCATCTGTGTAACAATGACTTACCGCTTGAATAAATTATCTCTAGAAGGAAACCTATCTAGCAATAGATTTCAAGAAAAGACCTCCATTTTAAAGGGAGCCCAACTATTTCAAATGAATTGAATGAGTAGATTTTTTCTAACTAACTGACCCTCAACTAAGAGAGAAATGTCTGATTGAGATAAGTAAGTAGACACCACGGAAAAGAAACCATCTTTAATCAATTGACACTAATAAAAAATAAATTAATATATATATAAAATAGGTGCAAACCTTGAAGTTCTTTTCTTCGCTAAAATATCCTGAAACTATGATAAGTATTCGAAGTTTTTCTGCAACTGAAATATTAAAATTTTTATTAAGCATTTAAAAAATATACATATTTTGCACATAAATGTATAATAACAAGAACATAAATATTATTATAATTTTAATCATGAGTATAATTAATTTTACACTATCTATACTCAAATAAAAATATAAAAAATGTGAAAAGTAATGTGTATTAGAGCATCACTAAAATAGAACTTGAACCTATACTTTTATTTGTCACTGTTATAATTTTAATCATGAGTATAACTAATTTCACACTATCTATACTCAAATAAAAATATTTAAAAAAAAAATGTGAAAAGTAATATGTAGTAGAGCATCACTAAAATAGAACTTGAACCTATATTTTTATTTGTCATTGTTATAAACAAACATTCGTTGTTAGATTTATTGAATACTCGATATATCAAATCTTTCTATAAATTAAATACGCCAGTTATTTATTGAATATAATTTAAAATAAATTTTTTATTTATAATAATGATAAGAGGAATATTATGTGATAATAAGTAATTAGAGAAAATATTGTCAAATTCAATTTTTAAGTAAATTTATTTTACTTAGATGAATTTGATAGGTGACATGTCAGTTTGATGCTTTGATATTTTTGTTAAATAACATATATATTCATTTTTAGTGTACGTGTGGAAGTCTGACAAGCATTTGTATTACATTGTTTGGATTCGTGTGGAAGAGAATCTGAAATATTGTCACTAAAGAGAAATGTTGAGACAAAAACGTATGGATGTGAGGTAATGCAAGAAGGAAAGGGGAGGAAGTGGAATCAATGGAATATGTTGAGCAAGGATGAGCTTGACAACCATTGAGGACGAGAAATATTCGACTGGGATAAATTGTTAGAAATTCCACAGCTACACAGACTCAGTGCAAAGAAGTAAAGACGGGACCAGGATGATCGTTTCCCAAGTATGTCAAGACGTGTATCAGAAGAAATGTGTTATGAGACGACTAAGGCTTCCAATCAGAAACATTAAAGGCGCAAGCATAGCAGAGAACTATGTTCTCTTGGATAAAACAGTTTTTAGATGAAGCCGTTAGGTTTAAATAAGGAAAACTGTAAGGAACATTTGTCCCATCGTTTGAAGAAGGTGTGAGAAACCTGTTATCAGGGTGGTTGGAAGGAATTCGAGGGTGAGTTCTATTTAAGGGGGAGAATGTAACATCCCTATATTTATATTACTAAGTATGAGAAGTTAGTGGAGTTATAAAGATATTGGTTAGAATTGGACTTGATGGTAAATTAGTAAATAACTTATAGTTGGAGGGCAATATGGCCATTAAACATGAAGTGTGTGGGATCTAAAGGGCATGTTTGGTAGATATCATTAACATGTCCTAATTTTGTGAAGAAAAGTAGATAGAGAGAAGGAAAGGGAATAAAGTTCATCATCTCCAAATTCATTTTCGCACTCCAAGAGCAATCCCCACATAATATGTTATAACTCTCTACTCGTAACTCCATTTTAAGAAATTCTTGATATTCTGGAATCTACACAAAATTCCCTTCATTTTGGTATATGATTTTGTATTTATAAGTTCTATATCAAAGGAGAAAAACATGACCGAAGTTTGGAAATTCATGCTGAAATGGATTATAGAGGAGTTACGGGATTGATGAACTTAGAACTAGAACTTTGATCAAGAGTGGAGTTCAATGACAATTTTATCATCATCTAAACCTCCTTTGATGCAAGTTGGATCTCATTAGATAGAAAATGGGGGTATTGATGGGAAATTGCATATTTGGAGATAAGGGTTAGATTGAGAAATCCTTAATGCATGTTTGGTTCTAATGATGTTTAGCATATATTAACTTGTTTTTCTTACGTGTATGATATGGATACTTGAATTGAAGTGAAGAAATGAGGCTTTGGGACCTCAAGGTAAAACTGTTACAATTCTAATTTTTCTGCATTTCACAGATCGTGCTTAGCGCCAGGGCTACACTTAGCGCACCCTCTTGGGACTTGAAATTTAATTATTTTGCATATAGCACTTAGAGCGGGAGGCTCCAGTTTGCACGTCCTCCTGGACAGAACTATATTATTGTAATCCCTTGAATATAGTCTCGTACTATAGTGAGTACTTGACGCCTCCTTGATTTATGTGATTGCTTGGAAACGTACTGCATAATGAGTATAATCCTTGTTAATCATTATTCGCTTATGACATGAATATGCACGATTACGATTCGGATCACATTGTATGATAAATGTCATGTATGATCATTTATGAATGTGTATGCTTAATGAATGTGGTATGTTAAAATGCAACTATGTGATCATTACTTGTTCCCTTCGTTCCGATTGAACGTTCATATGTGTTTGCCTTGGTGGCTTGATGTGACTGTTTGATATATACATGAATCGAAGTAGACCTAGGCTAGAAGGTGGTAAAGCGATTATGACATTTATTACCAACACGATAAGGTGTTGGATCCTATTGATGTTCTTGGCAAGTCATACACATCTGACCTATCAATGCGATGTGTCACAAGTGGGTCTGAAAAGGAGTTTCCAACAGGCGTAAACATCAGCGTGCTTAGTATGACGAGAACGTGATGCCATATAGGCTACATCATGTCGGGAACTTATCTCTAGTGGTTCCACATAGGCAATGCCACTATGCTTTTTCCCGGTGGACTCGTGTTGTCGAGATGGCATTTTTTATTGTGCTTGATCACACGTGCGTTTTGATGATGAACGAGGCCGTGCCGCGACGTAGACAAGGTCACCGCTGTAACTCGTCGCAGATCAAATTTTATTTAGGAATGATTCGATTCATCGTGTAGTGTGTTAGTAAAAGTCTCGTGATGCGATGCACGGGAGGAACCCGTCAAGGGTGTGAAATGCGTAGCCTAAATAGCAAGGTAGAACTTACTTCTGGATTCCTCGTACAAGTTTACGTGTCTTCATATTTGTTTGTGTTTAGTTGCGTGCCTGATTTGTTGTTACCTCATTAGTTAGTTATGAGACTTCCAATGATGATGTACCACTGTTGTGTATTTGTACCTAACCGTGAGGTAAAACCCCAGATTCTCGGTGGATCTGTTTTGATGCATGCATCCTATAGAATCGAGCGAACCCTTAAGATGGGGAGACTCACCGAGATTTAGTAATCTCACCATAATCCTCTTATTATTTTTAAGAACATATTATAAGTAGAAGAATTGATAGATGGTCAATATTGAAGACTGCGGGCGAGCAGATGGCGGGAAGACCTCATCAGATTTTATCTTTCGGATGTGCATTGCTGAAAACAAGTTGATTGTATACATTCTAATATTCGATTTGTGTTGTATACGATTTTAATTTCTTGTCATTTCCAACTTCTCTATATTTCTATGTATCATTTTTAGTATCATTGCATATTATTCTAGACATAAATGAGTTAAAAGGAAATACATTGATATTGTAAAATAATTTTATATTATCAACAGAAAACAAACATTCTACCATATTATTAAAAATAATTTAAAATAAAAGAAAAAAGTTTAATTAAATATATAATTATAATTAGTTGTCACTGCAAAACTTTATTATATTGTTACTAAAGCGGGACGGGCTTATCCAATTTACACATTCCATCTTTAGAGGGCATGTTAAGCGACATATCAACAGTTGTCTTGATATTTTGGTATAATAACATATATTTTGATTTAATAAAACCAGACTTAAAAAAATTGATTAACAAAATACTTTAAACTATAGCAAATAGAATAAAAAAAGATACTATATTTTAAAAGGTAAGTGACTTTTAATTACTTCAATAATAAACATTTTGTATAAAACTCACATTGGAAACATGTTATTTCATGTGCTAGATTGTCCGTGTAAGAGAGAAGCTGTCCAATTGAAATTCCAATACAACTCATGCCAATTTGAGATATTGGTCTTAAATCTGTATTATTTTCTGCTTTATTACAAGAAAAATAAACATTAATAAGATAATAAAAAAGTATTATCTCTATCTCATGGTGCAACCAAAGCCATACAAAAATGTATTCTAGGAACATAATGTGAATCTAAGATGGACCCTAGAATATTTGAAGGGATAAGATTCGAACTGTGGATAAATTATTATGTCTCTACCTTTCACTACGTGTCAACAACTGGTGCTATGCTATATAGTACAAATGAGAATTCCACTAAAAGTGAATAATAGCACTCACTCACTTGAAGGCAACCGCACAAGTGTTATGGTTGTACAAGTTTATTATTGCAAGGAAGCATTATAAAATGAAATGAGAGAAGTGTGATGTGAAAAGAGTAAACGAGTAACCAATAAGAGCTTAGAGACGGCTTGTAGTGTGATATGGCCCTACATGCATGCTTGTAGTCAAATTTTGGAAGGCTCTCCTATGAGAGGCTATCACTCAATAAAAATTTTAATTTTAATTTTTAATTGTTTATGAGTTTATTTTGTTTTTTTTATTCAACTGAATTACGAAAGAGAAAACAAATTCAATCACCAACTTTTGTTTACTTCTCTTTTAAATATTTTGTTTGTTTAGAAAGATTGTATTATGGGTCGGGCTGACACTTAGTTTACATATAGGCAAACTCAATTCAGTGATTTTCTTAATGGTTCAATAGCTTTAGACGTAAGTCAAATAGTCGTTGAGAATTTTTTCATGTGCCCATCAAAGAACGTGATCAACAGTCACATCAACCACCACTTATCTTTCAAGAATAACGGGTCTACTTGTCCTATATTTCTGGGGTGCTTTATCAGGGAACGTGCCACGTGTTGTATCCTATTACCCACGTAACTCTGGAAGTCCTTGTTATTGAGTCCAAATCACTTGGCCCAATACATGGATCTTGGTCCAGCGCTGGGGGCTATAAATATCTTCTCACATGAGAGAGTCAGATATTCATTCATTCATCCTCACTTCTATTACTTGTACTATAATTGTCTAGACTCTTACTTTGGCATCAGAGTACCTTACAAGTACCTCCATTCACTTCAACAGCCGTCTCATTCAAGCGTGTGGGCCATCGAAGATTCCTTCTGGTCAAGTACGATCAATAGTGTCGTCTGTGAGAACATGCTTCCCCGTCTTTCACTAACTGAAGATCAAAGAAAACTTTCAACTTTTCGATCATCATGGACGCTCCAGTCAACAATGAAGATCCTAATGTTCACTTCGTCGAGTTTGGAAACAACGACGATCTTGCCGTCCACGCACTCGATATCAGGATGAAAGAACCGCTTCCTCCTCTAATACAACCCATTTGCTCGATCAACCTCGCCGATAAAACTACGAACCTGCATCGTACGAGGAAAACCCCGTGTCTGAGAATGATGACCCTACGACCAAGACCTTGTTCGTGGTGATCAACAAGACTAACTACACAATCTTCGCGCAAGGCGAGTGCGTTGGAATGCTAGAAACCCGCAGGTCCCTAAGAAGGCACAAGAGGCCCGACTCGTGCTCCCCATCTCCTCGACGACAAGAACCCCGCTCGCGCTTTCCTCCGCGAAGACACCAGCAGGGAGATTCTCGTAGTCCTTCTCCCCTTCGTACCGGGCGACGCCCCCGACTGGAGAGGACCCAATAAGAAACCATCAAGAAGCACGTACACACCCCTCCGTGCAAAAGAACGACGTTTCCCAGCTCTTAAAAGAGGCGATGAGAAAGAAGAAAAGAAAACTCGGCCGAGGACCCCTCCCTGCCATAGAAGACACCACTATGACTTATCTCTGTCTCGATCCCCTGAGCGAAGCGAATAAGAGGAATCTGAAGAACCAGTTCGCCAGTAGCTTTACAGCTTCTCGGAGACACCCCAAGACTGTGGCATCTCACGAAGCAATCATCCAGGGAAGCGAGGAGTCTCTCCGAGCATACATTGTCTGGTTCAATTGAGAGGCCATTCAAGTCCCACCATCGACCGTATGAAGAGGTATCTGCTCGAAAAAGGCCTTATGTCGGGCAGCAATTTCTAGAAAACGGTCGGTATCGAGCCCCCAAGGTCTTTCGACCATCTCCTCCACAAAGCCCGGGCGTACATCACGTACGAGGACAAGAAGGTCGCTAATAATGTTCGTGATTCTAGGAACCGTGGAGCATCCAATGCACCCATGCACAACAACGCATGATCATCCCGATGGCCCGGGGACCGGAGGAGGGATGAAAAGCCTCGCGACTCTCACAAGCATAGAGGTCCAGCCGGGCGCTTCACCGAGTACACTGCTTTGACCGCTCCCCGCCAGCATATCCTCGCAGAATTAGCCAGAACTGAATTCAGGGACGGGGGAGTCCTTCAAACTAAATCCACGCCCGCTAAACCTGGGGTCGACAAAACTAAATACTGACAGTACCACCGGAGTCACGACCACGTCACTAAAGATTGCATCTACCTGAAGGATGCCATCTATACTCTCATCAAGGCAGGGAGGCTCGGGTAATACAAGAAAGACACCCCTCATCGTGACAACTGCGAGGTGAAAGAGATCGAGGAAGATGTCCGACCATCCAACGAAGTCGGGCCCTACCAAGTTTCCCTGCCAATATCTCGACCCGAGGATTTTTACATCCCCGACCGTGTCGAAGGTAATGAGTTGTTGTTTACCCACAACAGATGGGAGAAGTTCCCTGTCACCCTTGTCATCTCCGGTGGGGGATTTGACACTATCTCCGCGAACTCAATGAAGAGAAATTTGAAGAGCTGATAGATGCAACACCGGTCCAGACTGTGACCCTCGACAGGTTCTGGGGACAATCTGAGCCCATCATGTTCTACCTCGAAGAGCTTCCCGGGGGAGCTCCCAACTCACATATCCCTTTGATTATAAGGGAAAAGATGGCTAACATTGACGTGTATCGCATCCTAGTCGACGAAGGAAGTTTCATCGCGTCATGTACACTCAACTATTCAAGACCTTTCAGCTCAAATAATTCCACGTGTCACTGTATGTGGGTTTGACCTGTAGGGATAATGGCTCGACTTCTAAACCGTGGGGCTATGTCGAGCTTCTGGTCACGTTCGGGATGGAAATGGCAGCTGCCCGACAAGTTAAAGTCTGCTTCCTAGTGGTTGATTTCCTATCTCTTTATAACTTCATTTTGGGAAGACCAACATTGGCCGAGCTAACCGACGTACCCTCCAAGGTCCACCTTATGATGAAGTTCTACACGAAGAGAGGACTCGTAGCCACCATTCACAGGGACATACAAGTTGCGAGGAGATGTTTTAATGCGGCCTCAAAAGGGAAGAACATGGTCGACATCAAGTCGAAGACGACCTGTGGAACCACCCCTCCTCGTCTAAGCCTGCTCAAATTATAGAAAAAAAAGCTATGCACGACGTCAACTTAATCGACCTGGACACACACTTCAACAAAGACAAGGTCGAGGTCCCCAAAACCGAACATGATCCCCTTCGTCTCATCCCCGACAGAGACTTTAAAGTCATCCTCCTTGGCAAGGACCCGGACAAAGGCGTACAAATTGGAGTTGGACTCTCCGACCTGGCGAGGAAGAAGCTCAAAGCATGTCTGAGGGAGAACACTAACTTGTTCTCGTGGAGTACTACGGAGATGCTCGGACTCGACCCTGAGGTCTCCTGTCATTAACCTTTTGTAGATCCAGCCGCTAGGACAGTAGTAAAACGTAGGCGTAGGCGGTCTCTCGAAAAAGCGAAGGCTGCTAAAAAAGTTGTAAAAGACCTCCTAGAGGCAAATTTTATTTTTGAGGCCCGGTATTCAACCTAGCTCTCCAATGTTGTACTGTTAAGAAAAATAATGAAAAATTACGTATGTGTGTTGACTACACTGATCTCAATCGGGAATGTTACAAGGATGCATATCCTTTACCTAATATTGACAGGCTGGTCGACAACTCAGCCTGCTACAAACTTTTATCATTTATGGACGCGTATTCAGGATATAATCAAATTCCCATGGCAATGAGCGATAAACACTGCACGACCTTCATGATCGAGTCAGGAAACTACTACTACAATGTAATACCCTTCGGCTTGAAGAATGCAGGCGCGACATACCAGCGAATGATGAACAAAGTATTATCAGGCGAAATCGAGGACACGCTCGAGGTGTATATGGATGACATGATCGTCAAATCTTGAGCAGAAACCGATCACACAACCCATTTGAAAAGTGTCTTCGACCGGGCAAGGAGATGCAAAATGAGATTCAACCCGGAGAAATGCACATTCAGGGTGATGGCGGGCAAGTTCCTTGGGTTCTGTCTGACAGAATGAGGAATCAAAGCCAACCCCGACAAATGTAGAGCCTTCTCCAAGCTCCCCACTTCGATCTCGAAAAAATCCATATAAATCTTGAATGGTTTGCTTACCTCTCTCTCCCGTTTCGTGGCGAAATCCGCACAACACGCACTTCCATTTTTCAAACTCTTGCGCAAAGAGACAACCTTCAAATTAACCGAGGAGTGCGAATAAGTCCTCCTTCACCTCAAGCGAGTTGTTTCAAAACTTCCCGTGCTTTTTCACGACCTGAGAACGGAGAAACCATATTCCTCTACATGGTCGTTTCAGCCGAGGCCGTGAGCGGGACCTTCATTCGCGAAACCACTGTCGGGCACAAGCCCATGTACTTCACCAGCAAAGTGCTACAAGGCCTCAAGGTCAGATACCAACAAGTCGAGAAGGTTGTGTTAGCCCTCATCAACACGACAATGAGACTGAGGCATTACTTATTGGACCATACGATTATTGTTCGAACCAACTAATCTATATAGCAGCTACTCGGGCAACCTGACATGGTCGGTCGAATGCGAAAATGGTCCCTGGAGCTGCTGGAGTTCGACAACCAATATGAGAGCAGCACGGCCCTCAAAGCCCAGGCACTGGTCGACTTTGTCGCAAATATGACCGCCATCGAAGCTCCTGTAGGAGGAGCCCGAAGATGGACCATGTTTGTAGATGGAGCATCCAGTTTGACAGGGAGCGGGGCGGGCATCCTCCTTGAGAACGAGGAGGGTATCGTCATCGAGCATTCACTCGTCTTGTCATTCCCAACGTTGAACAACTAAGACAGATACGAGGCACTACTTTCATGGTTAGAGATAGCCGAAGACTTGGCCGCTCAGGAAGTACAGATCTTCACCGATTCACAACTTGTTGAGTCCTAAGTACAGGGAGAATATCAGGCCAAGAATGACAGCCTCATCAAATACCAAAACCTGGTTCAAGAAAAATTGAAAAGGTTCGACCAGGCAAAAATCAAACATGTTCCCCGCGAACAGAATACCTGAGCGAATATTCTCTCGAGGCTCGCGAGCACAAGGAAGAAAGGCGGAAACAAATCTATCATTCAGGAATCACTCTCCCACCTGAGCATCGAGAGGTCCACTATGTTGCTCGGCATAAACGCCATCGGTGACGACACCCGTTGGATGAACCCACTGTTCAATTACCTTACCAAAGGAGAACTACCGACCGACCAGAAGGAAGCCAACGTGACCAAGCATTGTGCTTGCTCTTATGTTCTGGTTGAGAAGAGACTATACAGACGGGCATTCTCCATGCCACTCCTAAAGTTTGTCGAATAGACTAAAGTCTCTGATATCTTACAGAAGATCCACGAGGGAATTAATGCCCAACACCTAGGGGAGATCCTTAGCACAGAAGGCCATGCGAGCAGGATATTATTGGTCCATGATGCAGCAAGACGCTAAAGAGCACGTCAAAAGATGCAACCAATACCAATGCCACACAAATATGCACTTGGAACCTTCGCACGAGCTTGTAATGTTGTCTTCCCCGTTGCCTTTTTCCTGGTGAGGAATGGATATCCTCGGCCCCTTTCCCCAAGGATCACACCAAAAAAAATTCCTAATCATCGCCATTGATTATTTCATCAAGTGGATAGAGGCCGAAGCCCTCACCAAAATCATGTCGCGCAACATTATTTGTTTCTACAAAAGAAATGTGCTCGCCCGGTTCAACATACCGCAAGCACTTGTCACCGACAACGGGACACAATTTACAGGCAAGAAATTCCAAGACTCCATCGCTATGCTCAACACAAAGCAACACTTTACGTCTGTCGAGCACCCACAAACAAATGGGCAAGCAGAATCTGCTAACAGAGTCATCTTGCGGGGACTTAAACTCCGGCTAGGAAAAGCAAATAAGGGGTGGGTCGAAGAGCTCCATAGCGTGCTCTGGGACTAAAGAACAATACCCCAGACAACCACCAAGGAGACACCTTTCCGAGTAACATACGGAATCGAGGCGGCCATCTTCGTAGAAATCAGAGAGCCAACTAGGCGAATTAGATATAAAATATATAAAATGAAGATTAATCGAACAACTAAAGTTAAAAGAAGACTTAAATTTTTTAAAAGAAAAATTACTAAATATTTAAATAAAAAATTAGATATAAAATTTATTATATTTCAATGGGAATTGATTATACTTCTTTATAGTATCTTCTCTATATATAATGTTAATTAAAAATTCATTTAAAAAAGAAAGCAATAAATAATAAATTAGAGATAATATTTTTTCAAATGAATATTTATATTTAAGAATAACTAAAGTAACAGTTATATTGGATAAGTGAGATAACTCAACGATTATAATTTAAATAAATAAATAAATAAAATAACAGTTATAATTTAAAAACAACCTATATCTCTGCGAAAAAATATTAAAACTCAATTTTATAATTTAAAAATAACTTCTATCTCTATCAAACATGCACCAATATAACTAATAAAGTAAGGTAGGGTACATTGGTGAAATATATGCATGGTGTACATTAAAAGTCATTTTTCAGTTGAATGTACAGAGCCACAACACCATTCATATAGAATATATACGATGCAATATTAATCTGTGAAATGATTCATAAAAATTCATGAATGAGTAAAAAGAATACCTAGTCCTTTCCACTTTTTAAAGTCCTTTCTTAGTATATCCCCTACTTGCATAGAAGATAGGTCGTGCATTTTGTACCTCACTGAAAAAAATAATCACAGCATGTAAATAAATAATTAAACCAAGTAATTTTAAAGTATCATATATATAATCATTGATAGAGATTTATATTTACTATAATAGTAAAATGGTGTGGGATGGGACATACGTAGTTGATAGAGACCATTGCAGCCATAACGACCAGCACCATTGATCAATAATGAAGCCATGTACTTATCTTTAGAGGTGCAACGAGGGTCCCTTAGATTTGCAGTGTCCAATAGGATTCCTGATAACTGCAAATATTTATGAACATCACATGAAATCTGATTTAAATTTGGAAAAAAATTAGTGTGCTATGGACAGTGGTAGGTTCAGAAAATTTCATGGATGAGGCAGAAAAACATTGCACATATTTTAGCTAGAGAAAGATACTATGAATGTTTACTATATAATTATAATTAAAAATGTTAAATTATTTTTTATTATCATCACTAGGTCTCTTTCTATACACGTAAATAAACAATTATTTAACCACTTATCTCAATTATCATTAAGCATTTTGCTTTTCATTAAATTTATGGTAAATACGAAATTTTCAATTGTAGTGTATAGAGACATCCAATTACCATAATGCGAGTTTTAACTCATGAAAGTTATATTTAATTATATCTTTAAATGGTGAAATTTCGATCATTAATTTATATGGAATTGTAACATTATTAAATATTTAATTGATATTTCATTTTATTTTTGTTAATAATGTATTTTGTTTAATAATCTATTTAGATCCTATTCCTACCACTTCTTTTAGATATATTTTTGAAGTGAGAACCCCATATATATTTTATTCAATAAAAGATTAAAAAAATAACTAATCATAAATTTTGATTGTGTATTGATGCAGTTCTCCATCATTCGTTCTTTTGTAAATGATAAAATTGGTCAATCTATCAAAATAACCAATCATAAATTTTGATTGTGTATTGATGCAATTCTCCTATAATGGATCTAAGGGACTATATCTAATGATTTTCTCAACATAATCATCTAATTGATTCAACCACTGAACTTGTTTAGATCCGAATGTTTGATTTTTTTTATAACAAGAATTCAAGGACACTCTATATGTAATAAGAATTTTCACGAGTGAAGATGAAGCAATTTTCTAATGAATCACCATATTGTCAACAAATGAAATTGTACTCTGATCAACTTCCAACTTTGATGCTCCTATATTAAACAAAAGATTAGTACTTTAACTTATTTTTTGATTAACTAATACTTATACCACTACCGAAGCAAAAATTTGACATGGAGACACACTTATAACTTTCTACAAAGCCCATTCAACGGTTGTTTTTAGAGGAAACAACAAGGGCAAAAAACGTAGCAACCATCAAGGACAATTTTTGTTTCTCGCATCTCAAGATGATAATTTTGTTGGCAACTCTTCTCATCATCAAAATAATAACATAAAAAATAACAGCAAGAGCCGCAGTGGACATATCAATGCATCCTTCAACAGTGGTAGAGACAATAGACGTGATAGTTGTGGTAAGGTAGAGGCCGCATCGTCCAATCACAACATCAATAGTGACCGCCATTTTTTCACAACAATAATAATGGGCCTTTCCACCTTGGGATGCACCATGGAAACCTTAGGCCACACCACCGTGTTGGTACCTAATAATACCTAATTGACATAATTAGTCTCTTTCTCATCGCTAACCAGGAATCTTTGTCCTAAGACTCAACAGACTCATATGGCAGTCACATCAACAACTAGCTTCCAACCATCATATCCACCAACTAGCATTCAAGTTACGCTGCACACTCTATCTATGGCTAATTTTGATAGTCAGTTATACATGGACACTAGAGCCACTTCTCACATGACTGCAAATGAAGGTAATCTCACATCTTATTCCAATATAAGAAATACTATTACTGTTGCTAGTGGTCATAATATTGCATTTACAAATTGAGGAAATACATTAGTACCTTATCTTCATATGTACCTAACCCTAAAAAATGTCCTACATGCACCTAATTTAATTAAAAAAGTTAATTTTTTTTACCAATAATGATATTTCTAGTGAATTTGATCCTTTGGTTTTTCCGCGAAGAAGGTTCAAACAAAGATTCTTTTAATGAGATGTGACAACTCGGGTGACCTCTATCAATTACTACAAAATCAAGCACTATAAACTCCTCACCATCCACCTTTATCACTTTATCTAAATAATTATAGCACATCTGAGAACTTTGGTTTTAAGTTCTCTTCAACAAAACAATTTTAAACAATCTCATTTACTTTGACTAACAAATTAGATGGAAAAGACTAACGTGATACATTTTGAAAACTTGAGGGACCAAAATAATATTTTTAAAGTTAGTAGACCAAACTGGACCCCTAGTCAAAACTAAGGGATGAAAAAAATGTTTAGCCAATTTTATGTTGTCATTCTTATCCTCTTCGAAAATAAATAAAATTACCTTTTTATGAACTTTTTCCCATGCTTTGTTGCTTTTGATATTTGGACACCACCTATTCTATTTTTAGGTTGACATCACTATTATGCTTTAATCCTTACCTTCTATGTTATTCTAGGTTCATGCTCATATTAAAACACAAATTGAAAGAGATGTAAAAAAATTTCAATGTAATAATGAAAAATACTATGACAATGAAAATTTTTATAAGTTTCGTGAACTAAATAGAATGGTATTTCAATTTTCTTTCCCCTATACCTCTTCTCAAAACAGGAAAATCATAACTATAAAAATCGTACCATCAATAATATCATTCACACCCTTCTAGATCACGTCTCTCCTCCACCCCATTTTTGGCATTATGCATTATAGATATCCACTTACCTCCTTAATATCCTCCCCAACAAAAAGCTTTCCCTACAAACTACCACTTAAATTATCTACCAAAAAGACCCATTATACTCTCACCTTAAAGCTTTTGGTTGTCTATGTTACCCTCTCATTTCATCTACCTCTAGAAATAAATTACAGTCTCGCTCAACATGTGTATTTTTGTGTTATCCTTCAAATCATAGAGATTATAAATATTGTCGAGTCGTGAAATAATTATTTCTAGGCGTGTCATCTTTAATGAAAACACATTTCTATTTTCTACCTTAAATACCCCTCCAACCTCTAATTATGAATTTTGAATACATACTACACACCCTTTCTTATCTTCGATCTAACTTATTCTCAACTTTGACCAACTCAATTTTACCCCATCCGCCACAACTACCGCATCCCCAAATTTCACCCTACGACCCATGCCTCTCAAAAAATGCCATTGTATACGCAAAATCGCATCCCGTCCTCACAGTTTGCCTTACCACAAACTGCCAACTCAATTATTTCACTACACCATCCACCCCCTCACCTCAAATGACCACCCGAGAAAAACATAGAATTTTTAAGCCTCACAAACTTTTTAATCTCCATACCTCATCTCCAAACTATATTTCTCCATTGCATACTAATCATATTTCCTACTAGTCTCATTCATGCATTGCGATTCTCTTATAGAAAATAAGATGTGGAATATAGTGCCTTGTATGCCTAATGCTAATATTAATCGAAGTATGTGAATTTTCAAGCAGAAAAAGAAATCTGATAGGTTCTATGAGAGGTAATAAGCTCACTTTTAGGTGATGGTGCCATCCAACAAAATGGTATCAATTGTGGTTAGATTTTCAATCATGTAGTCAAACTAGGCATTATTCGAGCGATACTTATTGCTATTTTATCAAAAACATTGTGTCTTCTTCAATTAGATGTCAAAAACACATTTTTACATGGTATTATTGATGAAATAGTCTACATGCATCAACCACCAAGTTTCTACAATCATCATCATCCTAATTATGTGTGCTTGCTCAAGAAGTCCCTATATGGACTTAAACAAGCAACTCGTAATTGGTATCCGTAGTTTATTGACTATGTTGCTACCTTAAATTTATCTCATAGCATCTTGGATCATTCCTTATTCATCTATGTCGAGGTAATGATATAACTTTCATCCTTCTCTATGTGGATGACATCATTATGTTTGCTTCCTCATATTCCTTTAATTTATAAATCCATAATGACTAAAATCGACTATGAATTTGCTATTATGGATTCAAGTCCTCTAAGTTACTTTCTCGGTATTTCTATTACCAGATAGACATGAGGCCTTTTTTTATATCAAAAGAAATATGTCGAGGAAATTATTGAGTGCACAAATATGTCTTTTTGAAAACCATTTGCTACACTAGAGAACACAAAATCCAAACTAAGTGGATCTTCTGTAAATCCATATCATGCGCCAACTAAGTATCGTAATCTTACTAGAGCACTTCCATACTTGACTTTAACAAGGCCCATTATCACACATGTCATGAAATACGTGTATTTATTTATGCATGATCTGAAACCACAACATATAACTTCCTTGAAGTGTATCATTCAATATATTAAGGGCCCTCTTAATTTTTAGCCTACATCTATATCCTTCCTCCATTTATAATCTTATCACATATTCTGTTGCAGACTGGGGTGAGTGTCTAAACACTATATGGTTCACATTTAGGTATTACGTATATCTTGAGGACAACATCATATTTTGGTATGTCAAACGATAACCTGCATCGTATCGTTCTAGTTTTGAAGACGAATATCGTGGAGTCGTTGATGTAGTAACCGATTCGTGTTAGTTGATGAATCTTCTTTTAGAACTGTATTTCCCTGTCTCAAAGATCACATTAGTCTTTTGTGATAATGTACACGCCGTGTATCTCTCCATAAATCTCCTTCAACATTAACACATCAAGTACATTGAGATGAATATTCACTTTGTGTATGAGAAAGTTACTTGTAACCAAGTTCACGTGCTACATATCCCTTCATGTATCAAATAATCGACATCTTCACTAAAGACCTTCAACGACAACTCTTTGATGATTGTGGACTTAGTCTTAACATCAGACAACCTATTTTGACTACGATGGTATGAATGACAAAAAAACCCGTAGTCGTGGATACTAGCAGATAAAACCTGTCACGAGCACGAGTAGGATGTCTTATTGGATATCCACAAATAAAATAAATGGATATTTAGTTACCTATTTACTTACGGGTACAAATATGGATTTGACGGTACACGTAACCACAAGTATCCGTATTCGTTAATAATTAACAAAATTACTTAAATAATAATTTATAATCTATAATAATAATAATAATAGTAATAATAATAATAATAATAATAATAATAATAATAATAATAATTATTATTATTATTATTTTGTTGAATATGAAACTATTATTATTTTGTTGAGTATAATATAATTATTTGTAAAAAGAAGAAACAAAATGAATGTGATCTATTTTTGTTATTATTATTATTATTATTATTATTATTATTATTATTATTATTATTATTATTATTATTATTATTATTATTATTATTATTATTATTATTATTATTATTATTATTATTATTGTTATTGTTATTATTATTATTATTATTATTATTATTATTATTATTATTGTTATTATTATTATTATTATTATTATTATTATTATTATTATTATTATTATTATTGTTATTATTATTATTATTATTATTATTATTGTTATTGTTATTATTATTATTATTATTATTATTATTATTATTATTATTGTTATTGTTATTATTATTATTATTATTATTATTGTTATTGTTATTATTATTATTATTATTATTGTTATTGTTATTATTATTATTATTATTATTATTGTTATTATTATTATTATTATTATTATTATTATTGTTATTATTATTATTATTATTATTATTATTATTATTATTGTTATTGTTATTGTTATTGTTATTATTATTGTTATTGTTATTGTTATTGTTATTGTTATTGTTATTATTGTTATTGTTATTGTTATTGTTATTATTGTTATTGTTATTATTATTATTGTTATTGTTATTGTTATTGTTATTGTTATTATTGTTATTGTTATTATTATTATTGTTATTGTTATTGTTATTGTTATTATTATTATTGTTATTGTTATTATTATTATTGTTATTGTTATTGTTATTGTTATTGTTATTATTGTTATTGTTATTATTATTATTGTTATTATTATTATTATGATTATTATTATTATTATTATTATTATTATTATTATTATTATTATTATTATTACTATTATTATTATTATTATTATTATTATTATTATTATTATTATTATTATTGTTATTGTTATTATTATTATTATTATTGTTATTATTATTATTATTATTATTATTATTATTATTGTTATTGTTATTATTATTATTATTATTATTATTATTATTGTTATTATTATTATTATTATTATTATTATTATTATTATTATTATTATTATTATTATTATTATTATGTGTTGAATTTGAGAATATTTTGTTGTCTTTAAAAAGGATAAAAAATTTAGTTTATTATATATATTTTTTTTTTAAAAGTAAAAAATAAATCATGAATATCTGTATATATCCACAAATATCTCAAAATCTACGGATACTCGACTAACAGATATCCGCATATCCACAAATATCTCAAAATCTACGGATACTCGACTAACAGATATCCGCACGGATATGAGACAGATACATATATCATATTTACTAAACCAGACGGATAGCGGGAAACTATATATATCAATCTCATTAATTAAAAAATTGGCGTTATAATTTAGTAATGTCTTAATATTTAAGATACTCTTGTATCAATACATGATTATGCATTGAAATATGCAAGACAAATATTTTCTTACAAGTACATTGGTGTTAGATTCTTAATAAAATTTCTTAAGCCAATTGCTAAAATAAATAAAATATTTACTAAAGTAAAGAAATACTGATTAAAATGTAAGAACTTATTTTTAACCAAAAAATATTCTCATTTATTTCATTTTTTAAAATGACAACTAAGACTTATATTCTCGGGCCTATGTTATTTGGATCTTCTTCATATCTGGATTCATTGAGCAATTCGAAGGGGTGCAATTTCGAAACTAGGTGTACATGTAGTAAACAATTTTCTATTAAATATTATACAATCCTAATTAAAAGATTTGAACAACATAGAGAGTTAATAAAAAATAAAGAAGATATTCCAACATCATAAGATAGTTTATAAACACAAATTTGAAATAATTTTTACACAACTCAATTATAAAAATTAAAAATTAAAAATTTAGAGGTAGTAATTAAGAAGTTAAAGTACCAGTAGTTTACTGAAGGATTTGCAAGTCAATAATTTTGGTGAATATGCTGCAAATTTTTCAGCTATAGCTGTACAACAAGATCCTTCCTGTAGTAATAATGTTAAGATAATACCCACTGTCACTCTTATAATTAAATGATTAAATTAATAAAAAAAAATGTGATTTATGAAGAATTTAAGGTCTAATTACCTCTCCAGTTGTTACATTTTTTACCCATGGATATATTATATCACCCTGAAAAAAACATATACACTCTGATTATTATTATTATAATTAAAAATTTATGTTTTAAAATTTATTAAATAATTGATATATTTTATTTATATATAAATGAAATACATTAATTATTTAATAAATATAAAAATTAATTTTTACTTATAATTATAATAATAAACATATTATGTAGTTTTTTTTTTAAATGTAGGGTATTGTTCCTTTATAAATACAGGACCAAATTTAGGCAATAAATGTAAATTAACCTTTCTGAGGTGAAAAATTTCAACCACAGCATGCTTCAATTTCTGAGGTAAAAAAACACAAAATTAATATTGATAGTAAATTTCTAATTTTATGAAATTAAACATAATGTCAAATTTATAATTTTGTTACCTCTTGTTTATTGGCAATTTTGTTGCTCTTCAACAATAGTATCTTAAGACTTCCAAACAGATCATAATATGACATATCAATCTGTTTGGAATTAAATACACACACAAAAATAAAATTAATTATATAATTGAATATGATAGTATAAATACAAAAATATTTAAATTGATTTGAAGGCATATTTATTAAAATATGATTGTTGGAGTTTATATTGCAAATTAAATTAAACTTACCTCATCATCAAAAATTAAGGATGATTGATCAATTTGACATGAATCAAGTAACCACTTGAGTTCAACATGTGAGCCAAGATTTGATCTGCTGTTAATGTTGATAATTGGTACTATGCAGATTTGATCATTTTTTGAAGTTATATTTAGATAGAAAGAGTACATGATTGTTGAAGCCACAGTTCCAACATCTGTATTTAAATAATTTATATTTTATGAACAGACATATTTATTGGTGCGACACTAAAATATTGATCTGTCTCATAAAAAAATAAAGATAAAATATTCGATAGATCGAACTCATTTTACCATATTAATTGTACGACATTTTTATTGTAGACATGTAACTAAATCACATTATAGCGGCAGAGTTACTATTATTAGTAATATTGCAGTCACGATTGCGTTGCAGAAACTGAATTTAAAACCATAAAAACAAAGAAAGAAAAAAAAAATTTACCAGCATCATCTGATCCCATTACAGCATACAAGAATTTCCCAGGCACACCAGCATTAACATCATCCTTTCTTGCCTTCAAATATGCATTGAGCTTCTCAATACTTTCACACGACTCAACAATTTGAATTTCTGGTGATACTCCATTATAATATGAAGCTGCTGATAGTGGAAGAAGAACATTTGGGAGCTTTTCTTTTCTTCTTGTAACAGTGTATATCTTTTCCACATGTTGTAATATTGAAGGTGCATGTGAATTCTCTTCTTCATTTGATTGAATATCTAGTTGTATAATTGGAGCAATTTTGCTTGTTTGTAACCATTTTTCAGATGGAGAGTGTTCAATTGATTCATACTTGAAATCTTTTGTGAATGCTGAGTTGTCAAATGGCAAATGGTCTATGTCATTTTTAGACATATCCATGACAAGTTTTGAGGTTTTTGTTTCATCAATATCTATAAAAAATTCAAAACAATTATTACTACTAGTGGCAAAATAGATGCTAAATAGACAAGTTCACTTCGTTTATCTATCCTTACAAATATCTAGCCTTACAAATATCTCCAAAAAGAAAATAAGTTAGACTGGAAAGAACATAGTTGACAATGTGGATTTAAAATTTTGATTTGTTCCGTTAAAAAATAAGAGTGGGACAAGGAAAGCTGACTGACGCTACATCTCTAAAATCTAAAAAATACAAAAATTTATATTAATGTCTCTGTTCATAAAAAAATAGTGCGGAATAAGACAGACTTATTAGAGAGTACGGATCTAAAACTTTAGTCCGACTCACTAAAAAAATATGGAAAAAATGGACAATGTCCAAGCAATCAGACTCATTTTACCATGTCTATATATTAATTTCTAAATTATAATCTATGAAATATTAAGACATACGCGAACACCGAACACAACTCAATCACTTATACATTTATACCGATAATAGTTAAAAAATAAATGTGGTAATTAGTCACACTATAAAATATGTGTCACACTATAAAATATGTTCGACATGAGACAGATGATGTATTGATACTATTATAACAAAAAAATTTTTTTGCTCACCTTTGCTTAAAAGTCCGTCAAAGAATGGGTTCTCTCTACTACGAATATATGGATCCTACATATATTGAAAAACTGTTTAGAGAAAGAAAATATGTAGCTTAAGAAAAAATAATATAGAAATAAAATTTCACACATATAAAAAATAATTTTACTGGTAAAGATTCAAACATTATCAAAATTTGACACATATAAGATAAAGTAATGTCAATTGAGAAAGAAATTAACGCATGATAGAGGTAGTAATTAATGAACCTGGTGATTTGGTGCCAAAGCTCCAGCAGATTTCATGGTTGAAACAATATTGAGGTGTAGAAAACTATGGGAAAAAGAAGAAGAAGATAGTTTTAAATTAGGCTTAATAAAGGTACGGCAGATTAAGTAGAAAACAAGAAAGTGAAAGATGACAAATATATGAATTGTTGGAGACTCCGAAATAGTGTGAATCCTATGATTTAATATTATACAATATGCATAGTGAAATGCAATGGAAATAGATGGTGGCTTTTGCCGTTCTTCATTTAAAATTTTAAGATATCTATAATATCAAAATCCACCATTTTCTATTGTCTTGTACACTTGCCATGTTATAGCATGATCTACAACTATATATATATATATATATATATATATATATATATATATATATATATATATATATATATATAATATATATATATATATATATAATATATATATATATATATATATATATATATATATATATATATATATATATATATATATATATATATATATATATATATATATATATATATATATATATATATATATATATATATATATATATATATATATATATATATATATATATATATATATATATATATATATATATATATATATATATATATATATATATATATATATATATATATATATATATATATATATATATATATATATATATATATATATATATATGTGATTAAAGAAAAATAAAATAAAATAAATTAAAATACTAATATAATGTAGCATGAAACTTAAACTAAGAAAATAAAGAAATAATAATAATAATAATAATAATAATAATAATAATAATAATAATAATAATAATAATAATAATAATAATAATAATAAAATAATAATAATAATAATAATAAAATAATAATAATAATAATAATAATAATAATAATAATAATAATAATAATAATAATAATAATAATAATAATAATAATAATAATAATATTATGAAATAAGATAATAGAAAAAGTTTTGAAAGAATTAAAATAATATCATAGATTTAAATAAAATTGTTGTTATGTACATTTTCAAATAATAGTTCTCTCAAAATCTATTCTGACGAATTTATTAAAATTTATTATAATATATTAAAATAGAAGCGAATTCTAATGCAAACACTTCTATTCTATTTTTTTTTTTTCAAGGACTAATACAATATTCATTCTAATTAAAGACCATAAATTCAAATCCTTCTTAAAACCGAAAAAAATATCATTTCAAATAAAATAGTTTAACAAAATAACCATTATTATAATTATGTAAATGTCTTAAATTTGAAATTTAAAATAGACGTGTGAACCTAACACTAAAAATTTAAATTACACACAGAAATCACTATGAAGAAAGACAACACTTTATAAAGGTATTATGAACCATTACACAACATTACCATGATATTAATATTGATTCATGAAAAAGTGTGTCTATCATAATGTTATCGATTACTTTCACGCGATAATGAATTACATGTTGCCCTTATTTTAAAACATGTAACTTTTTCAAATGGATAATCGATTATTAATAATAGGTAATCGATTATTTCTAGTTGGTAATCGATTATTGTCTTTATTTTCTTTGAAAACTCGAACTTAAAAACCTATTTTAATGGTTTCTACCCTTTTAACATTGAAAATAAATTATCTTATATTTATATGATATTTTCTGAGACTTTTAAGTGATATATAAATTAAACAGTGATTTATCAAAGATAAAGACATGCTTAACCTTAACTTACATGTTTTTTGTTATTGGCTATTTATCATTCATCATCTTAATCATTTTCTTCTTTGTTGATATTGTTGTTTTCATCAAAATTCTATCAACTTCATAAAGAAGATATTCTTTCAAATTTCATCCTTTTTGATGATGACAAACTATATCTTTTGAACTTTTTGTTTAAAGTTGAAATCTCCCCTATCTTGTATATCACCCCATATGTTTTACACTTTTGGATTTTGATATCCTAAAAGAAGATTTAACAAAAACACATATCTGATACCATACATTTTCTCCCTCTTTTGACATTATAAAAAGAATAAAAAAGAAGTAGAGACCATAGATGCATGGTATGGACAATAGAACATCCAATATACATAACATTCAACAATATAATATCCAACATTTATAATAACCAACAACATAATATCTAACATATATAATTTAGAAAACATAGAATCCACAAGGGGATTATCGATATTTTATTGACGGTATAGAGAAGAGAAAATGGGGTGTCTTGTTAACTCCTCCGACCAAACTAAATTTTTACATTATTCGAGAGTTTTATGCTAACGCAATTTCGACCGAAGATGTCCGATACTCTTATTGTTCGTTTGTGTAAGGGGAGCCGTGTCTTTTGATAGGAATTCAGTTAGTCAATACTTGAATCATCCTCTCACTCTTCAAAGGGGGTGAACTTTGCTCTTATCAAAAAAGGGTGGCAAGTAAGAAGTGGCATTTGGATTTAGTTAGTGAGACTCTAGCTTTTACTCCTAACCATTGTTTTTTCTCAATGCTTCCAACCAGCCAATGCACTTCAAGAGATGTGACATAAACATAAAAGCTCATATGTATGCGACTCTTTTGCTTTACAATATTAAGCCGAGAAGTCACACTTCAACTATTCCTATTGATACATCTTTCCTCTTGCATTACATGATTGAAGGGTGGTAAATTGATGTGGCACAAGTGATTTCTAATGAGATTCAAAGAATTGCCATCAGTGGCCATTCACATGGTAACAAGGCCCCTATGACTCTTGGTTTTCCGGATCTTATTACAGGGCTGTGTAGGAAGGCGGGTGTTGACATTCCCAATGTGACTACCAAAAGGATTAGTAGTATTGTCAGTGAGGATTATGTACTTCGGCATTGTGTGCCTAAGTTGGCAGGCAAGGAAGCCCCTCAACCTCAGGCGCACGCTCCTCCGGCGGGTCTGACTCGGTATAATGAACAACAAGATTGTGTTTATAACTGGCAGATGATGGAGGCTTATATGAGAGCTTCTTTCTTCCTTCATGATTCTATGCAGCTTTTATATCGTCACCAGGTTGCTTTGGAGGAGGTTCCTATTTATCCTACTCGAGAGGAGTTTTCTGCTTATGCAAATTACCCTGGGGGAAGGCCATTCTTCCAAGAGGGGGCAACAGCTAATGTTAATGATGAGGAAAGTGAGAAAGATCAGGAAGATAAAGAAGTTGAGGGGAGTGATGATGAGTGGAGCAGTTGATCTGGTGGAGATTGGTTTGCCGTATTAGCATAATTTTTATGTTTTTTGTTTTATTTAGTCTTCTGTTTTAATTTTCAGACAATTATTGTGATGTTGTTCCATCCTTTTAAGGATGATGTTTTATGGTTGTATTTTGGTTTTAATACTTTTGGAGGCATTTTTATGCCATGGATGACTTTGGTACACCATTTTGAGGTGTTTGGTTTAATTTTTGGGATTTTTAACTCTATGGCATTATATTCGTAAGTTTGTTAGCTTATTTTAAATTTTTTAAAGAAAATAAAGAAGCAAAAGCTTATTTTTGTTCCTTAGTTTGACAATTTTGAAGGAACCAAGTAAACTTTACAAATGCGGTTCAACTTGCAATTGAGTGGTGATGATATGAATTGAATTGTAGTAACAACTTCAAGGTACATGTTTATTGCTTTCTAAACTTAGCATAAATATGAAACTTGTGGTTTATTCATAATATCATACCTTTAATTCTTTAACAATACTTATCAATTTTGAATCACCTTATAACTTAGCCTTGTGTGAGGAAGCTTTTTATTGTGCACTTAAATGCGGGAAACCAAAATTCTTGTTAACTCAATATTATCATGTTTAATCATGCATGGGTGTTTATGTGTGAAAGTTGGAAAATGATCAAAGGCATTAATTGTTTTATTTTGAGAAAAACCACTTGAGCCAAATGAATAATAAATCTACATTGAGAGTGAGTAATCACTTGTTCACCCTAATTGAGCCTTTCTATCAAGATCCTTGTGATGATTAAATTGTGTAAATATTGAAAATGAATAAAAAATTAATCATTAGGTTTTTAGAAAGGATCTTGATTTTTGTTTGATAAAGTTTTGAACCCTCAACCTCAATGTGGCTGCTTCTATTCTTTCTTTGCCTTAGTGTACGGGAATATTCTTGCTACTATGTTGTGTTGTGTTCAAAGTTGGGGAGATTTTTATAGGTTGTTTATTGTGAAAGAAAAAGTAGTTGAAATAAAAGAAATGATAAATAAAAAGAATAAAAAAAGAGAATCAATGAATATGAGATCTTAGAAAGAAAAAGAATTGAAAAGCCAAGGGTATAAAATTGTGTCGGCATAAGAGCTCATGGGTGTATGTTATATCCAAGAAAAGAATAAAAGAGGGGGTAAAAATGTTGAATTGTGCATTGGTGTGATGAATTGAATGTTCTCATGCGTTAGGAAATTTAGTTTCAATTATCTTGAGAAATATCCCTTCCTCGTAACTAAGTGTGATATGGTGGCAGAACCGACTGTTTTGATTATGCTGGTGTTTACAGTGATTTCTGGTAAACAACCGCTAGTCCTCCAAACTATCGAATAAACTTACTGACTGTTATTCAATTTCTCTGGTAACTCGCAGGATCGACTAGATTGATCCTAGGACTTGTTGGTCATTAGGGTAACTCTCATGATCGAACTGGTATTCATGGTTGGTATTTAGAATGTTGTGTAGGTGTTTAACTTATTTCGATTTCTCTCTTAAAGATCTAAAGGTGCGATCAAATAAACGTGCGCGAAACTAAATTGCATGAATAAAGGTCAATTGTAAAGACATGTAAAAACTGCATAAAAGACAAATAAATGGCTTCGAATCGTAAAGAAAACAGTTAATGTAAAAGATTCGAAATGTGAAGAAAGCGTTTAATGCAAGAAAACTGTAAAATGGCTTTAAGTAAAAAAGGTGTTCAAAGGATAAAAATTTGAAGATAAAGGCATGAAATGTATAACAGTTTCTGAAATGTAAAGTATTTGAAATGGAAGGAAAGCATTTAAATGT